CCAGTAGAGTTCTATATTGCTGACTGGAAAGTTATTGGTGCAACTGTTGAAGATGTTATATTGGATTTCTTTCAAACAGGGGAGATGTCAAGGCAGGTAAATTCGACTCTCATCTCTCTTATTCCCAAGGTGGCTAATGCGGAAAAGATGACAGATTTTAGGCCTATTTCCTGTTGTAATGTCATTTATAAGGCTATATCGAAGCTTCTATCGAATGGGTTATCAAATGTGCTTCCTAAGGTGATTAGTAAATCACAATCTGCTTTTGTTAAAGGCAAGAATATTAGTGATAATATTCTGATTGCTACTCAACTTGTCCATGGTTATCATAAGAAGTCTATCACTCCACGATGTGGTTTGAAAGTTGATCTTCGAAAAGCGTTTGATTCGGTGGAATAGAAATACTTGTTTAAGGTTCTAAAGGCTATGAGGTTTCCACAGGGATTTATTAGACTCATTGAATCATGTATTAAGACTCCTATGTTTAGTGTGGCTTTCAATGGGGGTAGTTGTGGATATTTTCAGGGGAGTAAAGGACTCAGGCAAGGAGATCCTTTATCCCCCTATCTATTTACAATTGCTATGAAGGGTTTTCATGTTTAATTGCAAGGGAAGTGGCTGATAATCAGATCGCTCACCATCCGCGTTGTAAAGCACTTGAGATTACACATGTGTGCTTCGCGGATGACCTTTTAGTCTTTGCCAATGGATATGTGAGAGCAGTTGCTAGACAAGTTCTATCAGGTCTCAGGACTCCAATGCAATATGGCCAAGTGTAATCTTTATTGTGATGGGATATTGGCAGGTGAGAAGAGATTTATATCACAAACAACTGGCTTTCCTTTGGGAGAGTTACCGGTGCGGTACCTGGGAGTAGCACTTATTACTGGTAAACTGAGCTCTGCTGACTGTCAATTATTGGTGGAGCGGATAACTGTGAAGATCACAATCTGCTGTGATTATGATTACTCTTCAATACTGGATGGCTATATTCAGCTTGCCTATGAAGGTATTGAGAGAAGTGGAAGCAATCTGCAATAGATTTCTGTTGGGCGTAGGAGAAGATGGAGGAAGAAAAAAAAGCTCCAGTAGCTTGGTCATTTGTGGCAAAACCAAAGATGGAAGGTGCTATGAGAATACGTGATTTTAAAACATGGAACCCGGCGTGTGTCACATGCCATATTTGGAGTATCCATACTGAATCAGGATCGATTTGGGTAGCGTGATTTCAGCGATATATGCTGAAGCATAGAACCTTTTGGACTCTACAACAATCTTCTTCAGGATCCTGGATCTGGAAGAAGATTCTGAAGGGTCGTGCTGCAGTTCAGCCTTTCATTTAAGGTATGTCTACAACCCTGCTTTGGAATGGATCTCTTATGGATAAGTACTCTGTAAAAGATGTTTGGAATGCACTTAAGGGAAGGCCCAGCAAGTCCCTTGGTATAGAGCTGTTTGGGGAAAGCATGTGATCCCTAAACATAGTTTGCTGGTTTGGTTGCTTATTATGGATCGAATGATTACTAAGGATAAGATAGTGAAATGGAAAATGATGGATGAGGCTAGCTGTTTGCTGTGTCCTGGGGGTGGGGGAGGAGTCTCGAAATCACCTGTTTGGGAGCTGCTCTTACTTAGTTTGTGTGTGGTCAATTGTTTTGAAAGGTATATGTCATGTTCCTGGGTTCTCAGATTGGGATACTCATTTGAATTGGAGTATGCAGGCTTGGCAGGGATCGAGTGATAAGGTGATAGTGGGGCGTCTTCTATGGTCTCTTGCTTTGAGTTTTGTTTGGCGGGAGAGATGTGCAAGAATGTATGGACTGAGCGTTTGCAGATCCCCTTTTTAGTTGGTCAGATGTATTCAGCAGTAGTGCAGGTTGTTTGCGGAGGGTAACCTTGATTTCAGAGGGCGAATTAGAGTGTTAAAATTTTAGCAGTTGTTTCTTATCAAAGATTATGGCTTTTGCCTATTGTATAGATGTCGAAAGGAGGTAATTGCGGTTTGCAATCTCCCGTTCTTAATGATAATTTTGATTAACCATAAAAAATATCTTGTCATTCAATTTTAACCCAAAAAATATATAACTCGACCCGCCACACCACCTTGACTAACCTGACCCTTTAACCAAACACATGAACCGACCCCAACTTTTCAACTCATGTGAACGACAGAAGTATCATTAAGCTTAAGCTGCCCGCACCTCTCCAATAGATTCCCCATGAAATCGAAAGCAGCTATGATGGTTCATGTAACCTTCATGCGAAAAAATAGCTCTCTCGCTGTAATATTTTTCCTCTAAGTACGGGCGGGCCAAGTCGGGTCATAGGTTGGGTTAAGATGATGTGGCGGGTCGGGGTTTACATTTTTTGGTTAAAATTGAGTGATTGGACATTTCTATTAGCCACGTTAAAATTGACGCTGTTAACGGAGGCTAACAGAGACTAACGAAAAGTGACCAAACATAACATGTTTTTAGCAAACTTAGTGACCACGGATGAAATTAAATATTTTTAGTAACTAAACATGAATGTTTTTAGTAATCCTAGTGACCAACCTTGCAATTTACCCCTTTTTGAGCTTGTGGGAGTAGTTTTAGTCCATAGTTTTAAATTTGAAATGGACGGCTCCCCAAGCAAACAACAAACTCAATCCCAGGCCACACTTCATTATTACCGGGCTGGGCTCTTCCTGTCTCCTTTCCCCCTCCCCAATTATCCCCTACATTCCTCAACACGAGCACCCTAGTTCATTTCTTATTTCTACGCAGACAGATGCTTTATTCCCCCCTCCACAACCTCGGGGACGGATCCCATGACTAACAACACTTAGATCTGTACATACCAATATGACGGTTAAAAGTGGGAAGGGCTTTTTAATTAATGAAAGGGGTAGTTTGGGTATTATGAAAATTTACGAAGTATACAAACCAGACTTACAAACGTTACAAACATTACAAACATACAAACTGAAATGGTAAAATATACAAACAGATTTACAAACAATACAAAACATACGAACTATACAAACAATACAAACTAGACCGACAAACAATACAAACCATATAAAATAAATAAAACAACTGGGTTGATTTTGGAGGCTCCATCCCAATATAGAGGGTCTCAAAGTCAACCTTGTTGTTTTTTTGACATACAAACATTACAAACATGGTGGGGAAAAATGACAAACTAGACTGACAAACCATATAAAATGGAAAAACACCCGGGTTGACTTTGGAGGTTCCATCTCTATATAGAGCAGTTCTATCCAAAAGTCAACCAGGTTGTTTTTAGACATAAAAAATATTAGAAACATGGGTAAAAAAATGACAAACATGTTGGACAAAAATAACAAAGCTTACAAACATTACAAAAGTAACGGACAAATAGTACAAAGCATACTAACAGTACAAAATACCACTACTTACAATACAAATCGGTAAACTTGTATTACAAACCGATGAATATAAAGTATACAAACTAGACAAACAAACATTACAAATTACAATATATACAAAATGGCTAAGTTGCAAGTTTGGTCACTTGAATTACTAGTAAAGTTCACGTTAGCCACTAGAATTACTTTATTCCATCTGTAGTCACTTAAATTAGGTTAACAGTTCAAGTTTGGTCACTGACCGTTAGTCTCCATTAACTTTTCCTGATGTGGCGGTCAACTCTTATAGTTGACCGTTAAATGAGTGACGTAGCAATTAACAAATCATAAAATTTATTTTTTAATAATTTCCACCTCATTATTACAATAAATTAAAAAAATAATTAAAACAAAAAAATGTCACAAACAACGGCAACGGTGGAGGTTGGAACATATTTTTTGTAAACTACTGTAAAATTGGCTATTATTGCCACAAACGCGAATGTTTTGGCTATACAAGTATATTTTTGCTTAAATTTATGTAATTTTTTTGTTTTCCCCAAGATGTGAGTGTTCCTTTTTGTGCATTTAATTTGTGGTTAGATTGTTACTTAAGAGAAGCATGGCTTGTAATTTGTGGGAGAAAATCCCAAAATACACATGTTTAAAAAAAAATCAAAATACGTACGTTTTATGAAAAAATTCTAAAATACACATCTTTGGGCATCACTGCGGTCGTCAATCCCAGTGAATGCATTCACTTCGGCAGAATAAAGCGGTGAATGCATCACCTCTGTTGACGGCCGCGGTGAATGTCGGGTTAATTGCACCCGATGGCACTTAAGTGCTAATAATGTTGCAGGGTTAGCACCTAAACAGATTTTGTTGCAACTAATCCCCTTACCTAAGTTTCCGGTTGCAAAGCTACCAGTTCCGTCGACGGAAGTAACGACAGGTACCAAATATGTAATTTTCTAGGACAAGTAGGCAGGACATGTCAGCACAGCTTGCTGACTCATCTTCAATCCACTAACATTCGAAGACTCTTTTGGGGGGAACCCTCTTTTGATCAGCCGACCTCTCCTCCGACCTTTCCTCTCCCTCCTCTGTACTCTGTACTAGAATTTCGCAAAGACGAAATCCTTCGCCAAGAAACACGATCGCGAGACGACAGGGGGGCAGATTAGCAAGACGTTCCAGGTACCAATCGTTCTTTCATGCTATTATTCATTCCCCTGTTTTACCTTTTCTCGTATTCATTCCCATGTTTTACCTTTTCTCGACAGTGAATCAAACACCTACCCTAGCCTGTCTGTTTCTGGCGACGAGATTCGCTCTTTCACCGGTCATCTGAGGGATTACAAATAGAATAGGAAAGAACTCAGTTGGGAATCCCATAGCCCTGTATATCAATCCCGAGCGTATTGTGTGTTGCTGCTGCAAAGATGAGTCCATCCATTAGGGAAGTAGGAGATACTGATCAGATCCCAACATATGGTAAGTTGTGTGTTTTTGCTGCAATTTTCGACAGCTAATGACAGGTTTCCGATTGCTAAGTTTATTTTTGTTGATTTTGGCAGGAATCGGTGATGACAAGTTTACCATTGAGCTCCATTATAAAGGAGAGATGTTGTATGTTCTCGATGAAGACTTGTGTTATTTTGGAGGTGAAGTTAAATATCTGGACTGGATAGATCCAGATTCCTTATCTTTATTTGAAATGGATGGATATCTTGTTGAGTTTGGCTTCTCAGAAAGTGTCAGAATGATGGAGGAATATAGGCTGAAGAATGGTTGGGCATACTATTGGAGACTACCAGGAGAACGACTGAAGGAAGGGCTACAAGAATTGAGAAGTGACAAAGACATTATGGACATGGCTGCAAAGGTTATTCAAGTCTCTAAGTTTGTTGAGGTTTACCTGATCAATACAGAAGAATTGACTAAAGCTAACCTAGAAGCAGACAAAGGAGAAAATGAAATAGAAGTTGGCAGAGACATTCTCCAAAGCCCACTTGAAGTACCACATGATATGGCAGAGGCATTCTCCCACAACAATGGAACTGATGGTGGCATTGATGGTGGCAGCAGGGGAATGAATGAGGCAGAATATGATTTGCCCTGCCAAAACAATGTAGGGGAGGCTGAAAGAGAAGGTCACAGCATGGAAGTTGAAATTAATATTGATGACAATGTGGAGAGTGATCTTGAACGAGGTTTGGCTGCTGATTTTGAGGCCAGTGATGGAAATATGGAGTGGCAAAGCAGTGATGGGGTGGGTGGCAACCATGACATGTATATTGATGATGTATTTGAGGTTCCTGAAGAGGATGAAGCATATGATTCCGATTACCTAGGCAGCGTCCATTCAGATGAAGAAGACGAACTGCAAAGGGTTCCAACACGTCCAAGGTACCCTGAGTTCAATCCAGAGAAAGACATGAATGATCCCCAGTTCTGTCTGCACCAAATTTTCAGGGATAAAGACACTTTCAAGGATGCTGTGAAGAAATACTCTATCAACAGCAAACAACCACTCAAGTTTAAGCATAGTGACAGTAAACGAGTTCAAGTTGTATGCCAACCAGGATGTCCATGGAACATATGGGTAGCCCCAACTAATGATGGAAAGGCAGTTCAGATAAGATCATGTTGTCTAAGGCATGAGGGTTGTGTCTTGGTGTTCAAGAACACATTTGGGGATGCTAATTTCATCGCCAAAAGATACATACAGAGGTTTCAGGCTGATCCGGATTGGGGAGCTGCATCAATTATGCAAACAGTTGCAGAAGACTATAATTGGACTATTTCAAGGTGGAAGGCATGGAGGACTAAACGACTTGCAAAGGATCTTATAAGAGGCAATGCTAAGACCCAATATCATAAGCTGCAGGACTATTGTGCTCAAGTTCGTAGGACAAGTCCCGGTTCAACCTGTTATGTGGAAACAACTGAAAATTCCAATGTCTTCAAGAGAATGTATTGTTGTTTAGAACCTTGTAAGAAGGGGGCTGCTTTCTGTAGAAAGGTAATTCTGCTTGACAGATGTTTTATGAAGACAAAATATGGAGGACAATTACTGTCTGCAGTTAGTATAGATGGGAATGGAGGGAGTTTTCCTTTGGCATATGCTGCAGTCAAAGTTGAGAATGGAGACAACTGGACCTGGTTCTTAAACCAGTTGTGTCTTGATATCTTCAAAGATCCAGGATTGTGGACATTCATGTCAGATAAGCAAAAAGTAATGATGTTTACTTAGTGAATATGGCTTCTTCAGTAGAGTAATAAGATATTGACATGTTTATTGTTTTGTAATGCTATTTTGCAGGGCCTTTTGAATGCTTTGGAGAGTGTTGTTCCACATGCTGAGCAGCGATGTTGTGTGAGACACTTGGTTTCCAATATGTTTCGGGCACAAGGAGGTAACAAAAAAACCAAAGACTTATTATGGAATTGTGCTAGAGCTAGTTATGCATCAGAATTTGAGAGGTGCATGACTGAGTTTAAGGCTTATAATAAGAAAGCTCATATGTGGTTGCTTGATAAGCCGTTTTCACAATGGACGAGAACACAGTTCCAGCCATATTGCAAGTCAGATGTGTTGACAAACAACATCGCTGAAAGTTGGAATAACTCTTTGGTAGGAGCTAGGACCAAACCGATCATAAGCATGTTCGAGACTATTAGAAAAATTTTGATGCATCAATTTCGTGTTAGGAAGGAAACTGCAGTGTTGAAATGGAAGGGTCGTTTCTGTCCTAAAATCCAGAAAAAGTTAGACTTGGCTCAGAAAGCTAGCTTCACTTGTAATGCCATTCAGAGTGGTCCACAGAAGTTTGAGGTTTCATGTCCTCAAGGTCAGGTTGTTGTGGATGTGAGCAAATCCAAATGCACTTGTCGGATGTGGGAATTAACAGGTTTACCTTGCCCTCACGCCATACGCTGCCTATGGCAACTCTCGAGAAGGGTAGAGCAGTATGTGGACAAGTGCTATGAGATTGGAACTTACCTTGCAGCTTACTCTGGTGAGGTGGAACCAACCAATGGTAGGGCCAGAATCTTGGTTGCCAAGTGGGAAGGAGCCTGTGTTGCCACCAGAGCTAGTTGTAGAAGAGTCAAAGAAAGGAAGGCGCCAAACCAAAAGGAGAAAGGGTATTGAGGAGACAACTGGTCCTGATAAACAGAAACGCAAGTTTAAAGCTGAAAATGAAAGAATGAGTAGGAAGGGGAAGGGGGGAACCATTCATTGTAGTGAGTGTAAGCAGCCAGGCACAATAAGTCCTTCCATACAAAGGGGAAGAAGGGGGAAAACTCAGCAGAAGGTGCTGCATCAACTCAACGGTCATCAACAGAGGTGAGACTTTTATAGTTGTTTGCTTGAAATTAATTTAATTTCTCATGTTTATGTATCTGATTTGTAGGGAAGCACACAAGCTATGGGATCATCTGGTGTTGTTTTACAGTGGATGCCGGATGTATGGTCTTAATGTTTAAATTCCATTATTATTTGAAAACTTGTATACTGTGAGAACTCTTACAAATTGCTATTGATTTGTAGGGAAGCACTCGAACTCGTCCAATGCATTTCTTAAGTCAAGCTGAAACTACTTCTTTCCCATCCCAGCAAGGCAGTCAAAGCTTCAATTCAACTTGTCTTCCACCACGACAGAGTAGTCAATCTGAGGGACAAACAATGCGCTTTGCACAAGGCGAGGGAAGACAAAACAAACTTCCTATTGTTTCAAAAGGGAAAGGGCAGATGTGATATGTTTCGTAGTTAAATGGGGTGGAACCATACAGTAAACAAACATGATTGTCAGCTGCTTTTGGTGATTATGTTACATAACTATCAGCTGGTTTTTTTTTTTTGTGGTTTGGTTTCCAGGACATTTTTGGTGTTCATGAACATATACACTAATGGAAATTGAACACACTAATGGTAATTGAACTCGCCTTATCTATTTTATTGCTCTAACTAGGCTAAATGCAGCCTAGCTTTGTCCTTCGAAATATCCTGCATTTTGAAGATGGAAACAACAGTTCTCTTAACTTCTAAAGCTTTCTACCTTCATTAGCAGATCTGCAGACTCTTTCCAGCATGGCATTACAGTCTGAAACATTGCTCCTTTAATACATAATCCAAAACATGTTCCAAATTCATTACATCATCCAAAACAGGTTTCCAATTGATAAATCATCCTAAACAGGTTCCCACCTCATTACATGTTCCCAAACAGGTAATCAATCACACTCTTAGCCAATAGAGTTCCAACCACAATAAAAAAACTTTTGCTCATTTCTCTAACAAATGAGCTGTGATTGTTCCTCCTCTCCACCTCTCGGATTCTCTTGTGCAATGCAAGAACAAGTCGCTTAATGTTATCTTCAAGTGGTGGATCGATCCAACGGAAATAATTGCAAGCATTTACACCCTACGAATCAAACAACAGAAGAACCAGATCCATAGTTTATATATGGGAAAGATTTAGCATATGCAGTACACGCCAAAATGAAATGAAGATTTAATCAGCATACCCGATAATTGGCGCAACCGAAGAATCGTCTTTCGGGGTTGGCATCAGTCCACAAGGTTCGAAGAACCACCGGTACAACGCACCGGCACATTGGAGGTGTTGCCGCCATTATTGACTTGGAGGAAGGAGGAAGAGGATGTAAAGAGAGAAGGGTATGTTTCGGGTGAGGAAATTTTAGGGAAAGAAAGGGATAACAACAGCATAAGGGGAGAGTTTCGGGTGAGGAAATTTTGGGGAAAGAAAGGGATAACAACAACAGAAGGGAAGAGTTTCGGGTTTGACAGAGAGTTTCCAGAAGTTAAGAGGAAGGGAAGAGCGGGATAACACAGGAAAAGCGAAAAAATGAGCGGGAAAGAAAGGCTCGGATGAGTCAGCAAGCTGTGCTGACATGTCCTGCCTGCTTGTCCTAGCAAATTACATATTTGGTACCTGCCGTTACTTCCGTCGACGGAACTGGTAGCTTTGCAACCGGAAACTTAGGTAAGGGGATTAGTTGCAACAAAATCTGTTTAGGTGCTAACCCTGCAACATGTTCAGCACTTAAGTGCCATCGGGTGCAATTAACCCGTGAATGCCTGACCTAACACTAAAACTTCAAACGAATGTAACTTTGTGCCCGGTTATCCAATTGTAGCGAACATTTTTTGATTCCACATAACTTTTCAAGATCTTTTAATCTGCAACAAGCCTTCATTCCAAAAAAATGTGGTTTCCACCCCGAACAAGCAAATTTTCGATTTCGACAAACTTTGGAAGACTATAACTTTGTGCTCCGCAATTCGAATGTGATGAATTTTTTTTAATTTAGAATAACTTTTGAAGAACTAAAACTTTGATCATAACCATAATTTTGGAAGGTATGTGGATTTGTGAAAATTAAAGGCAAAGTTATTCCCAAAATCCCGTATACCAAAAAATATTTCTTTTTTAAAAATTATTCTCAGTAAAAGTTGTAGTTGTTAAAAATTTATGCACAATAAAAAAACTTTATGACGTTCGGATTGAGTAGCAAAAAGTTATGGCCTTCCAAAGTTTGGCAAAATCGAAAAATTGCTCATTCGGGGTAGCAAACGACATTTTTTTGGGATGAAGGCTTGTCGTAGACTGAAAGATCTTGAAAAATTATGCGGAATCAATAAAATTTTGCTAGAATTTGATAATCGAGCATAAAGTTACGTTCATTTGAAGTTTCAGTGTTAGGTCAGACATTCACCGCGACCGTCAACCGCGGTGATGCATTCACTGCTTTCATCTGCCGCGGTGAATGCTTTCATTGCGATTGACAACCGCGGTGATGCCCAAACATTTGTATTTTGGGAATTTTTCATAAAACATGTATATTTTGGGAAGTTTTTTCGAAACATGTGTATTGTGGGATTTCCCCCCTAATTTGTGACAAGAGGATGAGCATTTCAATGCTCATACATCTTAGTTTGGAAAGGGTATAGTTTAAACATTGTGTGAATGTCAAGAAGAGGATCCCATCCCTTAATCACATTTAGTTAGTTAGGCCAAAATTAAATGGGATGGAGAAATTAAATGGGATGGCCCAGTAGCTACTCGTGGAGCACTCGTTAGCAAATTATGCAATCTTGAGTGGCAGAACATTTTTTGGTGAGATACATAATTATCTCAATATGTAGTGGATTGACATTTGAAGTAATTGGATTTTAAGTGGCTTTGGATAAATTCAAATGTGAATATCATTAGTTTCTTTTTATGGAGGTCACAGGACATTATTGAAAATTATTCTAATTGATAGATAACTCTTTTATAAATTATTATTCTGTTATTGTATGCTTATGTTTGGCCCGATTATTAGAAATGTTTTCGGTTTCAAAAGTTGAATTATGACCACACATCTCTAAATTCTCATCTTTTGAAAATCCAAAAAGCGCTTTTATATAACATAAAAGGAAAAGCTTGGCGTTTGAAAAGCCAAAAAGCGCTTTTTATAACATAAAAGTAGAAGCTCCGAGTTTGAGTTATTCTTATCATATTTAATTTATTTCAGAGAATATAATTTTATTTCATTTATATTATTTTTAAAATAAAATAAATTATAAAATCATTCATTTAATATAAAAGAATTCTAACAAGATCTATTTTGACTACTTTTATTGTTTAGAATTTTTATTCATAGTTTATATTGTAAGTCTTTTATGATAATTTTAAACAAACTCTCATATTAAAAAACACTTCTAATAGTTTTTCATCCAAACACTCAACTGCTTTTTTTGAAAAATACTTCTCTAAAACTCCAGCCATAACCAGTTTCTGCAAAATCTACAGCAGGGCGAAACTAGCCCTATTATACATTTTTTTCATGTTCTTATTCAATTCAGATAATTTCTCCTCTTTTTTTTTTATTTTTTTACAAAATGTACTGAGTAAAGGTGGATGGGCCGAGTATTAAAACGGGCTATTCATTTTAATAAGGGGCTAATCTTTTTGGGCCTGACTCGCCCGAGAGAGGAGACTTGCAATTATTGGCTCAAACTGGAGAGCAACAACTTCGGCCGGTGGCATCCACAAGTAAACAAGCCCGAGTTCTAGATATGAAGCCCAATACTGAATACTGGGCCCTAAAGGACTAGACAAACCGACACTGGCAAACTATAAGTACACTAGTCTATACTCGACCCGTTGGTCGGACGAATCTTTTGAATTATTCTAAGATAAATGATTTGAGTTTGGTTGTTTTATACCTGCCTCGTTGGTCAGA